CATTTCCCATGTGGCTTCAAGTCATTCTGTTCTGGCCTTGAGCCTTATAACTAGACACCCCACAAAGTTCAGATCCAGAAAAAGTGGGTGTCAAAATCCATGCTTTTTCTTTGGGCCCTTCTCTATTTATAAAACTATTTTGGCATATTGAATTAACCTAGAAATTAACCTCTTATTTTTTAAATATTGTACTTTTTTTTTCATTAGAGAAACTTTGCAGAGTGGAGAGTAGCAAAGAAGTTAGACCCTTCCGCCCAGACCTGATCCTAGAGGCAGCAGGAGAAAGAGAGCTGGAAGTAAGCCTACACAAAAGAAAAGAGGAAATGCTTCCATCCAGGCCAGAGATGTCTGTGGTGGGAGGATGAAGACTATATACACTGAATGGTCCAATGCTCTGGTCTCTCAAAAAGAAAAAAAAAGTTCATAATTAAAATCAATGCAGTGAAATGTATTTTACTGGATTTTTTTCCTCCTCACTCCAAGGCCCACAACATAGCATTTCTTTCGTCTGCAAGTGGTGACTTTTGATAACTACAACATGTATGAAAGGTGGTTCTTTCTGAATTCACATGGTGTACAGTGGCATGCATTTGCCAATCCCCTGGAAAAGAAAACAAATAACAACAAATCAGAGGCTATTTCCTGCACATTTAGAATTTTTTAAAATTCTGTTAATTTTTTGATGGGACATATGGAACAAAGGAGACCAGTGTTCTCTTTTAGCTGTGCCACAGCACAGCTTCATAGGAGATTAATCAGCCCCATCCAGTCAGTCAGCTTGCACTGAGCCCTGAGCATCTGACTGGGCCAGGCTGACTAATCACCTGTGAGGCTGTGCTGCCAGTCAGCTTAGAGCAGTGGTCACCAACCAGTAGATCGGGATCTACTGGTAGATCTTGGAGCCTTTAACAAGTGATCCTGACTGGTTTGGCCGGGAGGCTATCAAATGCAAGCACTTCATCTGCCCCTCTAAGCATTGCTGTGCTGCTCCTGTCCTCTACCTTGGAGGTGCCCCTCACCCCTTGGAGTCTCCTGTTTGCTGTGCAGGACACAGGAAGAAGAGGAAGAGGGGTGCTGATGTCAGGGTGTCCCTCCACCCTGTACTACATCTCCACCGAGCAGAGGGGGGCAGGGATGAAGGGATTTTGCTGGCTGCTTTTGGGAGTGGTGCAGGGCCAGAGTAGGAATGGCTCAGAAGCCACCTGTGGTAAGTGGTGCCCAGCTGGAGCCCACATTCCGAACCCCATCCCCAGTCCTGAATCCCTCCTGCATCCCAAACCACTGCCCCAGCCTGCAAAAGTGAGTGAGGATTGGGGAGGGAGGATGGAGTGGTCAGGGGCGGGGTCTTGGAGAAGGGGCAGGAAGGAGGCGGGGCAAGAGTGTTTGGGTTTGAGGTAGATCCTAGATTGCACTTAAATTCAAAAAGTAATCTCATGCTTAAAAAGGTTGGAGACCACTGGCTTAGAGGGAACACTGAAGGAGACACCGTTTAATTTTAAGGAACGTGTATGTTTAGTATGGCACAGTGTCTGTTGGTCTTGACCAGATGAATCAAGCGGAAGAAAGATATTTTACTTTTGTCTGAAGCATCAGCTGTTAAGTCAGTTCTACTGGTGGAATAACTAGACTAAGTTATTGATCATCTGATTCTACCTGATAAGAACCCAGATTCCACTCATGGATTTTGAAAGGAAGATCCAGTGTGACAAATCCTGAATTCCTAAGTGGAATGATTTATGAGGATCTATGTAACTATTTGGAAAAGAGTTACACTTTAAAACAGTAGTACAGTATTAATTTCTATATTACAGTGGCATGTCTTTTAGAATGTGATATTATTAAGCCACGATGATCATTAAAGGAGTCTGAAAATCAGTCTTTAAACAAGAATGGATATCTCTGAGGATTGGTAATAGCATAACAATTTTATTCTGAGTCACCAATTCCAGCCAGGACCCACGCTCAGGGAATCAGGGATGGAATTACTAAGACTTTCACCTCTAGGTCAATAACTACAATGTGGTACCATGTTGAGGGATTGGATCCTTTAACTTGGCTTTCATTTATGGACCACAGATTCAAAATCTATTCAGGTTAGTCATCATTACTGAATGTTGGTATCGTCTGATGACCAGTAGCTAATGTGAAATGGATGTTACTGTAAAGTGCCTATAATGAATTCCATGGTCACAGATTAGTAACAGTTGGTTGCATTTTAATGAGTCACTGGCCAAGAAAGATGGGAGAGGAATTCTGTACTGACTAGTGAACAGATCCTCATTTTATTGTTTAACACCATTATACTTCTTTGCAAATGTTCACCTGATTTCTCCTGGGTTGTACATTCTCAGGTATATATGCTTGTGAAAAGTTGCTGGGAAGAAGACCCAGAAAAAAGGCCTGACTTTAAGAAAATTGAGAGCACTCTGGGTAAAATATTCAGGTAAGCACTATGTTTCAAACTCCCAGCTACTTGGAAGCAGATAGTTGTAGGTGGATGTTGTGATGCTGGCATGACTCTGTCAGTGGAAAAAACCAAGCTTACTGACTGGGGTGCTTTCTCATGCTTTGACAGAAGGGCAGGTGTGTCAGAGAGATTTTCACCTAGAGCCTGAATTATTACATTGTGTAAGGAGGGACTACTCAAGTATCAGGTAGTGGGTCATGATGTCCAGGTTTCAGGAAATTAATGGAGATGGCTATTGAATTAATGGATTCAGATGACCACAAAGTGAGATAATTAAAAAGATCAGGTTACTCAGAGTAAGATAATTATAGGGTTTGGATGAAATTAGGTCATTATTCGTAAAATACAGAGATGGAAAAGTCCCATTCAATTATCCAGTCCTTTTATATAGCCATTATAGGATTGTTCCCTGCCATACTTTTTTCTAATATAGTTATTTAAAAGTCCCAAACAATGGGTTTTCAGAGACTATTTAACAATTTTTACACCTATCCCTATACACCTAAATCTGTTCCACCACTCCCATGCTTATATTTTTGTTGCTGTTCTCTAAACATCTTCCAGATTGTCATTCTTGTTCTAATAATGTGGTGTTCATAACTGAACATAATGTTCCAGATATGGCTACTCCAAAGAGGTGCAGAAAAATAGCTAATTCACCTGCAAGGGCATAGAGGAGCACACAGTTCTGACCTACAGCTGCAGAGGCAGCAGCATTACAGGGTGGCTTACCTCTTGGGAGGGCAGTTGGTTCTACTACCACCATAACATGGATGTTTTGCTTGGGGAAAAGGCAGTTTTAAAATCCAGCCAGGACTGTCAGAATGTGAATGATTGGATCTTCCAGACATTTTGGCTTCATCCACTACACAGGCTGCATCCACTAGCTCTGGACCCCAAGTGAAGGAGAGATTGTGACTGGCTTGTATATCATCTATGCTTCTGGCAATTGTCTATTGATGGGAGTCTTCAAACTTGGTCCCATCAATGGAAGCCAGCAGATCTCAGTGAGTGAATGTAACCGACAGCCTGTTACTTCCCTGCTTGGTGATAAGATGCCATTGCAAAGGCAGCACAAAATTGCACTGGATTTTTTGATACTATATCCCACTGTAAACTCCTATCTAATTTGCTGCCTCTTATCCCCTCTACCTGCTCCTCAGAATTCTTCCTGTCTGTGGAACTCTCTCCCATTGAATATTTGTGTCTTGGGTTATTTCATATGATCTGAAACTGTGGAGATTAGCAGGACCAGGAGATCTGGGGCTCAGAAAATTAGCAAGACGGGTGACCTGGGTTGGCCACAGGCCTTTTTGCCTTAAGAATAAGCTCTTTGCTAAGTGGTGAAATTATGAGCTTTGAGCAGTTATTCTAGCTACAATTAAGCCACATGCTGTAGCTCATGTTTGCCTTTGTCCTGCCAATATGCTTTGTTCATCCTTTTCCCAACTACTGTTCCCAGTAACTACCACAGTCAGACCAATGAAAGCTACATGGATACTTTGATCCGGCGTCTGCAGTTGTATTCCCGGAACTTAGAGCACCTGGTAGAGGAGAGGACAGAGCTATACAAGGCAGAAAGGGACAGAGCAGACAGGCTTAACTTCATGCTGCTCCCACGGTGAGTGTTGACAAACAGAGGTTTCCATTTAGTAGGAAGCATTCAATATTAACTGAGAGGCCTACTGGTGCGTAATGCATCAGACTTGTGGGAGGCTCCAACCACAGTGAGAACAAAGACATGAATAACACTTGCTCCAAAGATAAAATTATCTAAATTATTCTGTCAAATATAACAAGTGATTAAAAGCAGAATTTGGAGCTGTAGAACTGAGGTCCTGACTTTGTAAACTGATTAAAGATCCCATGTCTTTACCATTTAGTCTTTGCTAACTGATAACAAACATTAGGACACTCCTCTTGAGATGATGGATTTGGTATGGTTCTGCAGGGCCGTTATTAAAAATACCGTTTTGCCTGAAGACCATAATAGTCATGGCCTGGTTTAACATCCACAGCTTTGCCTTTCACTATTTGATCATCCAGAGGACCAGTTATGACATGGTCTTCATTAAAGCAGTGTTCCAATCAGTGAATGACTCTCACTATCACCTGAACTTGGGCATGTGAGTCACCTGATTAGAATACACATGAACAAGCATGCGAAGAAGAAAAAATGGCTATTCACCTTTTCATAACTGTTGTTCTTTGAGATGTGGTCTTCATGTCCATTCCAATACCCTCCTTCCTACCCCTCTGTTAGAGTGGCCAGCAAGAAGAAACCGAGAAGGTGGGGTCAGCAAAGGTCTATATTGGATGACATGAAGGCGCAACTCTTTGGGGTGCCTAGGCCAACCCTATGTCTAGCTGCTAGGTGGAAAATCTTCCTGCTACCATATACATGTGCTTGCACACACTTGATTAAAATGGACATGAACAACACATCTGGAAGAACAACAATTAAGAAAAGGTGAGGTTTTTTTTCTCTCAGATGCAGGCAGGCCTCACCACTGTTGTTCATACTTTTGTCACCTTGAGCCTAGAATAGATTAACAAACTCTTGATATCACTTGGAAACTGAAGTTGGTGCAGAATTCACCTGCCTGCTTATTGAGAGAAATTTACACTAAGGCCGTGTCTTCACTTACCAATCCAGAGATCGATCTTCTGGTGTTCGATTTAGCTGCCTAGTTAAGACCCACTAAATTGAACCCTGAAGGCGGTTCCAGACAGCACCAGTACTGCTTCAGTCGCAAGGAGTAAGGGAAGCTGATGGGAGAATTTGCTCCCATTGGCCTCCCCCTGTGATGACAGTGCCAAGATCATCTTTAGGTAAGCCAACTCCAGCTACGTATTTTACCTGGCTGGACTTGTGTACCTTAACTTAACCTTCCACGTCTAGTGTGGACCTTGCCTCAGAGCACATGCTAGTGCTCTAGGATCTGCATAGGTTTGCCTGTTGTTATCCAGGTGGAATTGAAGGTGTTGAGTTTTATCTATAAAGTACTAAATAGTTCTGACTTGGTTTCCTATGAGACCGTCTCTCTCCCCAAACTATACTGCTGAAATTGTGGTCAACAGAAGACCCTGATACAAAAGAAATGGGTCACATTCTGTGTGAAGCCTGATGTGCTCTGCATTTTGCTTCTCACTTGGTCTGACAGATCAGCTAACTTCCCAGAAATAAATCCACACTCCTGAATGACATAGTCTGATGACTTAATTCTCAGTGTTGACACAGCAGTGTTGATGAGAGAATACCATTGTTTGAAGAAATGGCATTTCTTCAGCAACAGAAAATCCCCATCAGTTGGTGGAAGCTGCATCTATGCTACAGGGTGGGTTATGCTGGTATAGATATGGCTATTTAACTATGCTGGTATATTCTCCATAGTTTAGTCATACCCCAGTTTGTTATCTGTAAAATGTGTTTGAGTATAAATAGATTATAATTGTTGCAAGGCATTTCCGATTCTAAATTTGTCTTGCAATAGATGAGCACTTTCTAGGTTATGCATGTCTCACCATGACCAGTAACATACTGATCTATTTGAATGCTAATCATGTTTAAGAGGGTTGTTTGCTTAGAACTGGCTAAACCAGTGCTCCTCAATGTATCTAGGGGTACATCTATACAGCACGCTTATTTCTAAAGAAGTTATTTCAGATTTTTTTTTCCAAAATAGCTTATTTCAAAATAGCACGTTTACACTACAGGGAAGCTTCAAAATTAGTCTGAGGCAGGCTTCTCTAATGTGGACATGCTACCTCGAATTAGAGCCCCAGGAGGCACTGGAGAGTAATTACACTGAATGGCCCTGAAGAGGAGCTATTTTGAAATAGCAGCAGTGGAGCATCCACATTACTGCTATTCCAAAATAGCTATTTCAAAAGAGGCGTTATTCCTCGTGGAATGAGATTTACAGATTTCTAAATAAGCCGTCTGTTATTTTGAAATTATTTCAAAATAAAGGAATTAGGGTATGTCTACACTAAAGCGCTAATTTGAACTAACTTAGTTCGAATTAGTTAATTCGAACTAAGCTAATTCAAACTAACGGATCCAGACTAAAAAACTAGTTCGAATTAGCATTTTGCTAATTCGAACTAGCATGTCCACATTAAGTGGACCCTGATCCGCGGTTAAGGATGGCCGGAAGCAGTGCCGGCAGGGCATCAGATGAGGACTTTGAGTGTGGAGCTGCTGCCTCAGGCTAGCTAAGGGCTGTGCTTAAAGGGACCCGACCCCCACCCCGGACAGATAGTTCTCAGGGTTCCC